GAAGCTGTCAGGAACATCAAGTGATTTATGTCGTCACGTTAACAGAGCAGCAGTGTCCCACATCTGAAAAGGGCTTTGATCTAGTGGATGGCTACAGAAGTGATGGTGAACCCTGATGCTGTTTAACCCTAAAAAAAAAAAATAAAAAAACAGTACTGTAGCTGCTGTCGTGGTGACTTTAGGAAAAAAAAAACTGTTTTCAGAGTTTCTTTACTGACACACGTCACTGAGAACCTCGGAGAGATTTCAGTCCACTTCATCACAAACTGTCTTCTATTGATCACAGATGACAATCAACGACCACCACACTTGGATAAACATGTGCTTTATACCCATCAGGCACGGAGGCAAACCCAAGATCCAAATGAACCTGTCTGTGCATGCACGTGTCTGAAGTATCTGTTGATGTCATCTGTTCAAATCAACACTTGGGAAGTACAGAGGAGGAGGAGGAGGAGGAGGAGGAGGAAGAGGAGGAGGAGGGGGGCAGGAGGGTTCAGTCTCTGAAGATTTGGGCCATAAGAGGGGTGATGCCACAGGAAGCCACGTCATGCAAAGATGCCAGAACAAGCCAAACTGAGGAACTGAACTCTCCCCTCTGGTCAAAGCATCACAACTAGAGGTTACAAAGAGGACACGTTCCTTTACAGTTCACATGTAGATAGAAATCTGTCACCCTTAAACACTCACCTGAGCTTCTCCTCAAGCCATTATTAACACTATGTTCACATTTAGGAATGAGTTATTGGTTACAAAGGTGTCCAAAGCACCTGAGAGTGGTGTACTGTAAAAGGAGTGTCCTGTTGTAAGAACCAAAAAGAAAACGACACCCTCCCCAATCTGAAAACCAAAAGCTCTGGGGAGGCAGAGGGGGGCAGAAAGGGGAGTGAACACAACCAGTGATGGCTGGGCGGCTGGACACCTGCCTGTCTATGGGTGCGGGGCAGAGCGCGAATGGAGCATGAGAAGAATGGGGTTGGGAAGGGGGAGGGACAGTGAGGAAGAAGAGGAGGAGGAAGAGGAAGAGGAGGAGATGGTGGTGGACAGACGGACGTGGCTTAGAGGTCGACGCTTGGCAGCTGGCTGCAGGCCGACTGCGAGAGCTTTGCCACCACTCGGGCCAGGGCCCGGTTCTCAGCCTGCAGCCGCTCCTTGACCTGCCGCAGGGCCTGAACCTGCTTTACCTGGGGGAGGTTCTGCAGGGGGGGGAGGGAGGGAAGGGAGGGGAGACAACAACCACAACAACAGAGGAGAAACAAAGAGAAAGATGGAGGAGAGAGTGGCAGAAAAAGGAAATACGAGAAATGTGTTCCGAGAGACAAATCAAGGGAGAAAGGATTAATGAAAGACAGGACAATATAAATTAATAGAAAGGAAGGGGGGCCGAGAGAAGGAGAAAGGGAAAACAGAAAAAGGAAGACTGTTAGAAAATGGGGACAGACTTTGGAAACCGAAGGAATGATTACGAGCTTTCAGGTTCGGCATGATGCTTGTAGATAGAATGGAAAAGTGACACTGATAAGATCGGCCGGCTGCCTACGACCTAAAAATAAACACACGTCGTTATCACAGCGATGGAAAGAACATGTGCTTACTAGAGTTTAATGGATTTTTTTGTTCCTCTCTTCTTTCCCAAATCAATTTGCCAGGGAAGGAACGCCTAATTGGCCGTCTCAATGCAAGCGCTTAAATGTTAATGGTCAACACAGATTATAGCAGCTGGCCTGAGACAGCAGAAGCAACGCAGGAGTAGACAATAGCAGCTACACGAGGAGGAAAATACTCCCCCAACTTAAGTCATATTACTGCCTCCACTTCCTAGTTCCTAGCTTTGTGGCTGAAGAGCCATTACAGGTTGCTTGTAGCTACAGCCCAAGTGATGCTAGACTTCAGGGAACGATACGGATGTTTAGAGAATAAAAACATTTACATATCGGCTGATGCTCTTTATTTATATTTGTGTTTGAGAATTCATTTAGGAGGGAAACTAGTAGGGTTAACTTCCTAGTGATGTATTTTACGAGCTAGTTAGCGTGTTAGCGTGAAGACATCGCTTGACTCCACACCATCTGTTACTCTGCTACATGTGCTGCAGGCAGCGCTGAGAGAACTGGAAAGAGTGGAGTGGCTCTGCTGGACAAACTGTGTGATGACGCCTCTAAAACCACTCAGCTCGGGAGTTTTTTCAATTCCATTAACTGTGTTTCAAGTATTTAGTCAATCCAGTGTAACTTTTAAGTCTCATAACATCTTCATTGCAGAAATCATGTTCTAAACAGTCAGAAATTGGGGATTTCATCATTTTACGAGCCACAGAAAACCACAGTTGATAGAAGTAGGGATGGGTATCCTTGACATTCCAATAGCACTACTTCCAGTACAGTAATGGTACTCTTATCACTTCTTTTTATTGTTTTATCTGTTTAGGAAAGACAGGAAATGTACTCAGAGCAGCTTTATTTTCTCTCTTTGCTAACTTTCATCTCTATCATTTCTCATTTTGAAGTAAAAACGTGCAGCTGTGCAGTATTACTAAAGAAAAAAGTTAAAATACTTCAACACCAACATTAACTTTAAGAAAGGGTCAAAATAAAGCAAGACAGAATTAGCCTGCAGCCCCCGAATTGCTAAATCTGTCCCTCGTACACAGTCTCCCAAAGCGATCCCGCCTCTGGATCAGGAGCAGCGAAAAATGCATTAAATTAGAAACAGAGATGGTGAGATAAAACATGGAAGATAGTTCATGTAAAATGGGAAATCTATTTTCTGAAATGCTCCGATACTGGTAGCAGAACTGATAACGTTGGAGCTTATTGACCCTCCGGAGCCTGTTTATAGGCAGGATTCTGAAGCGTCTCTTCTGAAAAGAGGGTGTTGGACTGATGGAAGCTTTACAAACACAACATTTATGTCTGTTCTGCTTTGGTAGAAGTCTATAATGTTTCACTGGAGAAAAGGAAGAGGAGCACCCCGTCTTACATTCAGTAGAAATATGGGATTTTCAGTCTTGGTTCTTGTATTTGCTTTCACCACCAAATGATGCGGAAGCTGTATGTTATCTATCCACCATAATCTGACTTTCGTTAATGGCTCCTTAGAAACATATATTTCACGGCAAATTTGATTTTCATACAAGTCGGGTCTTGTTTTTGTAGCAGACCTAGCAGAGAGCCGAGAAAGCAGTGAACACACGGGGAAAGATTCACAAGCAGCTCAGTTACACCTTCAAATAAAGCTGCTTAGAGTAAGCCGTTGATTTGTTTACCACCTCTCTGGTTATCTGACTGCTCTGCTGCAGTCATGTCATCGTGTTCCTAGATCTTAGAAATAACTGGGTACAAAGGAAATGGCTAAACTACAAGCTTAAAACCCAAGTGACATCACAAATTTAAGCATCATGGCATTTAGGAAGACTCCTATTAAGCCAAAGAAAGTGACATTTATATAGAAAGCAACACTTACAGACTGAAATTCAACATCACAAATATAACAAAGCACCGTCAGTGTGTGTGACTGTGTGTGGTGGTACCTTAAGTTCCTCCTCCATCTCAGAAATCTTCCTTTCTAGAGCTCTTCTTTCCTGTTGGGTGAAGGAGAGCGGGTTAACTCTGAACTCACGCACGTCACAGAGACAGTTAGCAGACAACACGCTGAGGTGCAGGCTCTACACACGGCAAAAAAACCAGGAGGTGTGAAGGACGGTGAGGGTGTAGTGACAGCACACAACTAAACACACGCATGTTTTGTGAGACGTCCGCAAGCAGCAGCCAGTTCAGACCTACATACTCAGTGAGGTATACGGAAATTAACATCCAAAAGGCAGGAATGAGTCAAGAAATGAGGATGTAGATGTTTAGAAGTTGTGCTGGTTGGTAAGTTAATGAAATGACTCATGGACAGGGAGGTCAGAATGTCTTTTTTGAAGCAAAAAAGGACATTCTTGTATTATAAAAAGGCTGTAAGGACAAATGACACGTGAATAGTGACCTCAAATGTTGCCTAAAGTACAGGATGGATTTGAAAATAGTGGATGAAGTTGAACAAATCCACAGGTTATGATGTAACGGCTACACAGCTGCAGCTCAAGACGCCAGCGTTGTTACTAAATGAGTGAAAACAGCATGAAAACACACATGCACAGGTCCTTTAAAAAAAAAAAAACAGCTTTAACAACCTACAATCTTCCTAAACAAGTAAACACACTTTCACACGCTCAAAAATAAGAAATGAAGCAGTCTTGAGAAGTGGTGACCACACGCTGCCTCTGAGGTTCAAAAACAGGTGAAAGAGAGGGTGGCAGTGTTCTGGGTGGCAGTGGAGGGAGGGCGTCCCTTTGACCCCAGCTACATGTGTGACACGACAGCCAGCAGCAGAGAGGAGACTGATACAGAAACTCAGGGTAAGATCATACCACCACCCAGATGATATTGGGGCCTGCTTGTTACCTTCAGACATAAACCCATTGGCAGTGTTACTGTGACGTTTAAAGCAGGTCGGATTTAATCAAAATAACTGACAAATACTTCTCAATCCACATTTATCCTGACAGTTGAGAGAGACAGATATATTATCAGTTGAATTCATGGTGTTAATAAACAAAAGGTGTGGGTTAATAAACGAATGTGATCATTACCCTTTTCTCCATCTCAAGCTGTGATCGGTCAGCATAGCGTTCCTGCCTCTGCAAAGACAAAACAACGGAACAGATCAGAAAACGTCATCATGCCGTTACTGATCATCTGAGGCAGTGAGACTTCAACACACCTGTGTGGCCTTCTCTAGTTGTAGCTTCAAGTCTGCCAGCTCCAGGTCCGTGTCACGTAACTGGGCCTTCAACTTCTCGTTCTCAGCTAAGATCTGCTCGTAGAGCTGCAGAGAGAATGAAACAGAAGCGACGGTCAACAAGCGGAACAGTCAAATTAGACATAATCAATTACCTGGAGGCAAGGTTTAATTCCTCTGCCGTTCTGGGTGTTGGACTTTGTAGTTGATTACATAGCAATCACGATCATTAAAGAGAAAGTCTGATTTGTTATTTAGGTCCCTGTGTATTATCGAATTCCCCTTATAACCTTTGCTTTAAAGCACGGCCTATAATTATGGCTTTCAGACAGATTACTTTAAATGACATGATGGGATTTTCTCTTTAAGTGAGCCGAGGCCTGGAACAGGGATTTATTTCACAACAAAAAAATGGTTTATTTTTCATGAATAAATCAGATTTCCCACCGCATTGTAGAAAAACGCTTATCGAGGCAACTTTTCTACCAGCGATGGATTATTTTATACATTTGTGCATCGGCTGCAACATTTAGACACGGTCTGTCTCTTTGCATTAACGTTTAAGATGAGTGATGATTACAATACTCGTCACTGTGAGCTGTATGCTCAGGTTGGGTGGCCCTCGCCTTCTGTAAGGTGTGATAGTGACACTGGGTTTTGTTTATTTATGAGGCTTACATTAGTGCATTGCTATCTTTCAGTGCAGGATGTTGGGGGAGTCTTAGTTTAATAAAGGTTAAGGATAAATTTATGTACTGGGTTGTAGCGGTAGACCAACTATCATCACTTGTCATAATCCTCGACATGAAGCTTGGGTCAAGTTGGCACAAGTTGGTGAAATTGCAAGTGTGGATGTGTAAGTGGTCTAAATAGGGTTTTTTTGAGATCATTCCAAATGTGGCAGGAGCACTGGGAGCAGTGTATCGCTGCACAGGAAGACTACTTTAGAGGAGATAGCAGGAACATTTAAATCAGGTATAATTCTTGGTTTTTACATTCACAGTTGTGTAAATTCTTGATCCTACCTGGCCCTCATTAGACACGAGTTAGTGCAAAAGTTAGACAACAAACTCCAGAATCGATTCAAAGCTAGTGTGATTAGCCTTAAACTGACCTCAGATAAAGTGTACTATTATAAAAATGCTGAATACATACCTTCTTGTAGTCAGTGGTGTCGTCTCTATCCAGTCGGCTTGAATATGGCCTTCGACTCTCACCATAGCTGCGGCTAAAAAGAGTGTCGTTGCGATCTAAGGATGAAGTGCTCTCATTCCTGCAACAGTAATGACAGGCACTTGTTTATAACCAAACGTTTTAACCACACTGAGTCACATAAGAGATGAATGACAACGAGGAAGATAATATAAAGGGAGTAAACGTACCTGGACAATCTGTCACTCTGTAAGGAAACAAACAACAGTGTTAATGACTGTAGACAGAGAAGCCCTCTATGACTGCTAACACATTCAAAGAATCAACCATGACTCGCATTAACAGAGAAGTTATTTATACAAAAAACAAAAATGAACAGAAATCAGTTATTCACTTGAGACCACAGCCTCCTCTGTATGCCTCAGAACTTGAACTCCACTCCCATGCAGTCAGCCTCCTACAAACTGCTCTACATGCAAATACATACACAGTAATCCCTAAACAGCTGACAGCTAGTGCCTTCGAGGCCCGCTGCCTCTCCAGGCCGGCTGCGCTTGTGCAGTTTCACAGCAGCAGCAGCAGCCCTCAGACTGGAGCCAGACATCAGATAGGGAGGTCAGGTTGGAGGGGTTTGGTCTTCCAGCCATTTTAAAAAACGGCAGTCTCCTTCCTGAGGCGGATGGAGGGCGGTGACACAACAATGCTACATTCTGAGTCCTGAGAGTGCTTCCAGGGGAAAATGATTAGATATACAGCCAGCTGGGCACTACTTGATGCGTGACTGGAGAGAAGACGGGAGAGATTTAGCCATATTCTGGACATCAGGGTTGGTGAACAACAAAGCAATTATCTTTTTGTCTTTTCTGATAATGTCTCATGCACCAATCAGGAAGCATTCCAGCATTTTTTTCTCAGTTCCAAAACTCAAACCTGGATGAGTTTGGATGATTTCACAAGTTTTAATAACGCGTGCAATCTCAATGCAAGAGTCTGTTTGACGGAGTTTAACATTTAATATTCAGATGCTTGTGATTACAAGAGGCGAGCTGGGAAGGAGGAGACTCCAGAGCTTTTCCTGTATGCTTCTGTATCTCTGTGCAGAGATAATATCTTGTTTCCTATTTAGTGCTTTGCTGCTGCTGCTCCACCCTTTTTACTGTCCTCATGTAAGTGATGGTTAACAGCTATTTCATCACATCCTCGTCTCCCCCGATGACTGTACACAAACAACAACTGTCTGCTCTCTCTGTTATGCTGCAAACGACACTCCCATCCAAACAAGAATTTCACCCAGCCAGCAATATTTTTTACAATGCTGCCCTCTCTGCCCTTTGCTGCATCTCCAGTGGACAGTATGAATGCACTTAATTAGATTCCAAAGCTGATTTATGGTTAGTATTTTTACTCCTGGGACCGAAAGACTGGATAATATATTCCTTGTATGTTATTTCTAGAAGAAATTCTCGACTTTTTTTGCACGACAGAGAACAAAAAGCATACACTGAGGGTTCAAAAGTGTCTTCATTCCTCTTAAAATCCCAACATTTTAAATTAGAAAAACTCTCTGCTATCTCGTTCATGTGTGTGTGTGCTTTGACCGCAAGGACCCGGACTTCCTTTCCTTTGTGGACATGCATGTTTTGAAAACCTACTGATCTATGGCGGACAGAGCTTGTAGTTTGCAAGGTCACCTCGGCAACCGGACAATAACCGGAAGATGGAAAAAGGGGAGCAGTAAAAAAAAAAAATTCAAAGGCAGCAGACAGTCAGAAGAAAAGTTAAGTGGGAGTGGAGGAAATTAGAGTTGCACAGGACATAGTGGGAATATCAAAGGCTAGTGGACTTCCTTGGCCTCCACTAAATGAGATGAGACATGCGGAAGGACCAGAATAGAGAATAAATGCAGAGGGGCAAAAATCAAACAGAAGTGCGAGAAAAGCAATAGGACCGGTTTGATTCGGTTGGCGGGCCAGAGGGCTCCTACTGAACTCAGTTTCATCTACTTTCTGGGTGTGTCGGTGCGAGATGAGCTACCTGTGGCTCTCCCTTAGTGCTGCCCTCCTCGGAGTCCGACTGCTGGTCGGGGTCGTTTTCATCACCCTGGAATTAAACAAGACAGACAGTTAGGGGTCAGACGGCTTTTTGGCTCTCGCTATCCAAATGATCAAAGAGGCTTGGGGTTGTGCAAGTGTTCTGAACTGCTGCACCTCACGAAGAGTGCAATGAATACTTAAGGGGGTAGTTTTAAGAAAAACACTTCAAACATCTCTTACATCTTGAGTCCAGAAGGAAACCCCAGTGGAGCGTCTCTTCTCGCGGGGCCGCCTGCGATCCCGTATGGAGCGAGGCTGAGACTTGTCCTCTCCCTCCTTCTCCTCATCCTTTTTGTCCGTTTCTGTCCATCAAATAAGGAGAAGAGCTTTAAAGTGATACTTCGAGCACGTCACCTTCATGTAATCATTTCATAAATCAGACAACAGCTGGCAAGCGGGCAGCACTATATACCGCTACAGCATTGAACTCTTTTGCTCCTTGATAACAAAAGAAAAAACTTCCCTGTGCTTGTTTCCTCATGAATAACCTACAAGACAAGTCTGTCAGAAAAAACACAATTTACTCAGATTTAAAGCTTCTTGAGTTGTTCTCCTTTGACTTTATTGAAAGAGTTTGTTGACATGCAGGCTTCATATGTGCACAGCAGCAGGAGAGAAACACTCCAAAGGAAGATTTGGTTGCAAAAAGAAATATTTCGGCTACAGAAAGATGACATTGAGCAAAGACGTTCTCTGTTCAGTGTTCATGATCCCACTGTTGTCACTACACAAGGAAATATAACTAATTAGTTCGATCATTTAAATCAGCGCAAGTTTTGTATGACGAGTGCTAAGCCAGATCTGAGTTCCATCCAAAGCAAAAAAAAAAAAATTGTTTGGATGTCTCTGCCTATGATGCATCATAAAAAAACAGGTTCAAATTATTTTTATTTATTTATTTTTTAATAATGATTTTTTCCCCCTCAATGCAGAAACACTTTCACACAAACACACACACATTACTCTAGAATGAATAATCCTCTCTAAATATTCTTATTCTTATTCAGGTTATTTGGTGGTAGTATTTTTTATATTGGTATATATAAAACAGAAAAACAAAATATCACAATGTCAGTTTTTCCCCCCTCCCCCAGTATCAAGCAGCCGTAGTCGAAACTTAGTATATTTAGTAAACATAGTGTATAGTATTACATATCTTGTATAATTGTAGCTAGTGTGCCATCTTGTGAAACGTTTATTAAAGTCATTTTTTGTGTTTGGAAAGTATAGAAATTACATTATGACGAAAGACAAACTACAGCATCTGCTTTTCTATATCATGTTCTTATGTTTACATCAACTGTGTGCCAATACCCAACTAATCCTACCAAGAATACAGTTTCAGGTCAAACGAGGGATGGTTTGACTGCACAAGCCACACTCATGACGAGCTGACTTGGCTCTTGTTCAGAGAAAAAAAAAGGCTTTATCCACAGAACAATGTGGTCAGTGTTTCTTTCAGTGGAACAGACTAAAGCTGCTTTCTTTATTCCCAGGGATGCTTCATGGATTTATTTGTTAATAGAAGAGGCACTTTATTTAAAAAGGCAACCCAATCTCTTTCCGTCTCAATGCTCTCAATCAGCATGTGGCAGTTTGCCCGTGTGAACGCAGACCTGTGCAGACAGAAACAGCATCAGGTGGAATGAAGCAGTCATGCATCTACATGTCGTGCCTATGTGGCTTTACATCACAGTTATCTCACCCTAAATGTAATGAGAGCTAAGCTGGCCAGCAGTGTTAGCGCAGCTATATCAGAAAATGACAGTTGTAGTTCAAACAGAGCATTAGATTGAACCAAATGAGGGAGTTCATTCTAAAAGCTCACTCCTGCAGATACACACCTTCCTTAGCAAATGCTTACATGGTGACAGGGTTACGGGGATAGGATCAGTTAAGAAGAGGAAGGAAGATTGTGTTTGCTACATTCTGTGACTGTGTTTGTCAACTTCTACATTCACACTGCTGTTTTTGGAAACCCTGCTGACTCCATTTTGATGTGAATACTCCATGATTGTGTCTTAGCCTGGAATGGCAGAAACAATGATGCAGATACTGATTGGGCCTTACTGTTCATTTGTTCATTCCCTGATTGGTAACGATACTATTATAAGACTATTTTCAAAAGGAAAACACACATAAAATTATAATTAAATTCCTGACTGGAACAGAAGACGTTGCAGCCAAGATACAATCAATGAATACCTACAAACTGTGTATCTTATCATAGTTGTGTGAGGAGCATTATTATAATTCCCCTTGAGGCAACATTAAGAGATACGATTTTGCCGCAACTGCCTCTTTTGACTACACAAACTGCCAAACTACAGAGTAATTACAGGAGCCTTTTTATCAGTGCATACTATCTGAAGCTATAAATAGGTTTTTAAATAGGTTTCAAAAGTACATTTGACATTAAAGCACTTTTATATACCTTTTCCATATCTGAACGACACTGACCTTTTTCTGTATCTCTGGAGGAACGGCTGTAGGAAGAGGTGATTCCCGTCAGACTGTTGGGCCTGTTGAGGGAGCTGGAGCTGGAGGACAATGTGGTGCTAGAGTAGGAAGGGTTGGAGGCAGTGCTGACTGTGGAAATGGCGGACGTGGAGGAGGAAGATGAAGGCCGATAACGCTGAGAGGGAGAAGGCGGAGGGGGGAAAAAAAAAAGACAGGTAAGAGAGACAGCACAGTCAAACATTCAAGGTGTAAATTACTGTGAGGTTGCAACGACCTCTTTCAGGGAAGTAATTACAAAGAGGAGAGGAAGCGTACCTCTTCGAAGCTGCGGTACTTCGATCGGTAGTCGTCCTCCTTCGTCTCCGTCTCCTTCTTCTCCTCTTGCTTCTCCTTGTCCTGCTTCTCTTTCTCCTCCTTCTCTTCCTCTCGGGTCTTTGGGGGACGACTCCTGCCGATTGTTTTCTCGGCCTCTTGCAGGTCAGTCAGAGTCACACCCTGGAAGAAGAAAGTAAATTTATATTTCTTTCTTGCTTGAATGACAGTTTTTTACTTATATAATCACAACGTTGTTATTGTTATAAGTAGTTATTTAAGACCTGCAAGACAATTGGTTCTTTGTGATGTTTGACTTTTGATATCAGAGTCTGAAAACTATTGGCCCAATACAGGTAAATGAAAAGCTCAGATTCTGTCAGCTTGCACAATGATTAGCTTTTTGTTCATAAAAGTAAAGAAGCTAAGCACTGCCAGCCTATAGCTACACTTGGAGGACACCATTTCCTATTGTTTTGCTTTGATGTGAGACTCTATAATCATTTTTCTTATTGGTAGTTGATTTTGGAGACTATTTTGATCAGGTAGGGGGACTAACTACAAATAACTCATCAACACGTAGAAGGTGATGTAGGTTGTAACTAACCTGAGTGGACCTCCTCGACTGTCGAGCCTGTCTAGAGCGAGCTTTCCTCTGAGACTCTGACTCCTCGTCTCGCACTGGCGTCAGATATGACCTGAAAACACGCAGAGGTGAACAAACACTTAACATTAAACATAAAAATACTCTACTTATGCATGAGATGTTTTCTTCCCCACTGAATAGGCCAAATGTCAAGATCTATGTTCCTCTCCTAGATGGATATGCTTTGTAAACTGAAAGGTTACACAAGGGGAAATGGCCTCTATAATTTACAGATTAGCTGGAAAAGTAAACAAAGGATACACTCGCTCACACAACACATACAACATGCTACGGTAGCGGGTTCTTTCTTTTGACTTTGGGTGTGTTCAGTGTCAAGCATGTAGCTGACGTAACCCACTCTGGATGTTTGTTTGATCTAATTACTGCCGTACTGGTGAACACTGAGGCAGGTAATTTCCCGAGTGGTGTGTTTCCACACATCACTTTTCTTTTCCCAAGTAGCTCATTAAATTTGACTAATATCAATAGAGGAACCCCTCGACTACTAATTTTCTTCCATTTTGTTCTGAGTGCTTCATGTGGAGTTGGAGCAGAAACAAAACTGTGCTTCAGTTTCACAAGAGACTCAAAAACAGCCATTTGTAATTCACTACTGTGTGTTGGATTCATATTTGTAATGGAGGGACAAAAAGTTGCCACAGAAGTTGGGTAAGGAGTAGTGAAGGTAATCGATTTATTGCTAATGATAATTTAACCAATTAAAATACATTAACTGGCACTAGACAAGGGACACGCATGTCAGCAAATGTATTGTACATTAGCTGTGGTACCTGGTTGCTCCACCAGGTGGAGCCTCTTACAGTTTAATAAGATGGAAGACTACAGCGACCAGAGGAGTCACTCAGGCAATGGATAGTTCCGTGTTGGCAATCACAAAGGACCATGGATGTGTTAATGTAACTGATCAAAAATATGAGAATATATAAATCGATCAGGCAGAAGACGAAGGACACGCATGTCAGCAAATGCTTTGTTCATCTGCTGTAGTTCCTGGTTGCACCACTAGGCGGAGGCCTCTTGGTGTTTTGTTATCGTTTAATACTGCAACAACCCATCAAGGTGGTGACTCGGATAACAGACGGTTCTATGTTGGCGAGCAGACTACTGTGGGCTTTAGTTAACAACAGGCCACCATGACGGAGACTTCAATTGTGATCAATGGATTGCGGCCAGCGCTCACATTTGCAAGTCAACCGTTGCTTTATAAGGACAACGTTCCTAGTGCCAAGTGGCTGGTGTAACAAATGTATTTCTGAATTAAAAAAATAAAAAATAATAAAAAAATAAAAATAAATCTAAATTCGCATCCCTAATTCTTACTGAAGAGGACCTCCTGAAGTGAACGCATATCAGAGGCAAGATATTCCTGGAAATGAAAAAACACAATGGCTGTTTTGCCTCCAAGATAAAGCTTTCAAAAGGATTCATATCTCTGTGTCTAACCTTTTGCTACAACGGTTTTAGGCTCAACAGGCTGCACAGTTTGAGAAATGAAACAGTAAGCTGTTCTGTCAGCCTGGAGCACACCTCTGTTGGCCACACAGGAGTATGAACTCATTCAGAGCAGAATGGAGCCTTGGCCTTTGAGGAAAATGTGCTGCTTCTGCCCACCTTCCTTATAAGGAGAAGTCGCTGGAGCAGTCCAGGCTCTGAAACAGCACTTCCCCACTCCCGCTGTGACAGGTGGCTTATTTCAGCACCGCTACAGGAAGACATGCACTCGACCCCACTCAAACACACAAACGTGCAAACACATGCTTTCTGCGAAAAACTCTTGCGTGCTTCCTCTTTCACAGACAGACAAACACAGACAAACTCTCGCTCTCTTTCCACAGGACGAAGATCACAAACTACCCGCTCTTAAATGGAGGAAATGCATCCGGATCATTGTTTGGCTGAAGGAGGCTTTTTAGGTTAATGGCAATAATTCTTGGAACTGCTTACAGTAAATATTCTGTAGCAGTATCAACGCTATCTCAGCTGAGAACTGGATTGAAATGTGTAGAAAATAAACACAGCAAGTCAAAAAATATATATGTTGAGACAAAAACACACCATGGGATGCTCAAAGTCTCCACTAAACCCAAAACAGCAACAAACAAAACTACAAATTGTGTGTAGCCTAACAAAAATATCATATTGTGTAACCATATGTAAGACAGGAACAATAACCTGACAATTTCCTATTTAGTAAGAGGTCAGTATCGGCAAATAAAAACACTAATTTGAAGCTGATACAATCCCATCTTCAAGCTACACTGAGTTTATTATTATACTAAAATGTTTTTAGAGACCAAACTATCATGTTCCAGCTCTAAACTAAGCTACAGTACAAGAGTTATATAATAAACAGACATTATTACTCACATGTAAGGACATTCATTACTGTGCTGTGTAGGTTAAAAAGGTGGCTGTTTGCGTTACCTGCGTCTTTCGGAGCCAGTGACGGTGCCAGTGGTAGTGGTGGTAGTGGTAGATATGGCGCTGGTCGTAGTGGTAGATGTGGTGGTCGTGGTAGAGCCAGTGTTTATAGTGGGGATGACCGCAGCAGACTCCTTCTCCTTCTCCCTTTCCCTCTCTGCACTCTCCTCTGACCAGTACCTGTTTATACACAAACATTTTATATAGAAACTTAGTCAGACAGACTGCGTTTCAACGGCTTTTATGAAGCTTGTGGTTGTAGAGGGCTTTCAAGTGAGGACACGTGGCGGTCATTCTGGAGGTCAGATACTGATGCATACATCCTCCCACATACATGTGTACTTTTTTCTTATCCAGCAAGATGATCACGTTCGACTGAACTTGTAACAAAGTTGTTACTACACGCCAGAATATCTCACTATGGGTTGCAGAACACCATATTTTACTTTACATTAGCTTACTGGCTAATTAGCTTACAATCAAAGTTAAAAAGCACAATATTCTGTAGTTAGCGGAGAAATCTTTGTAAACAAAATGCAGTTTAGAAATTACTTCGACTCCAGTTAGCGCTCAGCAACAACGTGTCAGTCAGCAGCCATGTTTCCATAAAACTGTGACTTTGAATGAAACATTGAAATGTCAGGCAAGTGTAAGTATTCTTTAGTGGCCATGTTTCGTGCTGTTCAGATGCGTCAACGAGTGACGAGAATAAAGCTGTTGTGCGTTAAATGCTCTCGAAGTCCGATTTCATTTCCCATGGACTTTTTTTTTGTTCATAACAGTCAAAAACCAACTGCTGCAAGTGTAAATATTGCTTTGAATTTTACAGTTTATGTTAACTTTTTCTAATGCCACACTTCAAAATTAAAATAAAATGTTTCATATTTAATGGAAACACAGCTATTGACCTGTAGGCATGCACCACTGGACTTGGAGCCATTAAGCAAAATAAACACAACTTTATAACATGGCGTTGTGTTAAAATGCGACTCGTCCAGTGCAGAACTACCAACACTTGTAAACACTGTCAACAATAAAAGAATCCAAAAAAAGTCAAGAATCTGCTTTAACTTTATAGAAAACGTAACACAAACCCAACAAACAGACGCTACGGAAAACGAAGCTATCTAGAGAGTGTGCACGACTTATCGTCTTTATGGATTGTAAGCATTTTAATTTTCTGCACAAGGTGTGAAGCCTGTACCTGCTGGTGAGACTGGTGGAGCCAGTGCGAGTGGAGGAGGAGCCCAGGCTGGAGAGCAGGCCGCGATGGCCTGTGGGCGAGGTAACAGATGAGGAGGTGGTGGTGGTCGTGGAGGAGGAGGTGGTGGAGGAGCTCAAGTCCTCGTGCCTTCTGCCAAAAGAGCCGCTGTAGAATAAAGGAGTGGCCGTTAAGAGAGAGCAGGATGCAAGCGGGCCTGTGTGACTGCAGCTTGCTTTTTGCTCGATACTGAGACTGAAACCTTTAAACGTCTTAATTAGGACTGATGATGTGATTTTAATCTTCATCTAATTTCTTTGAAATACTTTTACTATCTTTTTACATTATACTGTATGTAAACATTATGACTGTTTAACATAATCACATAGTTTTAGTGCATTAGTAGTGCTGCCATGTATTGGAACCTGCTATGTGGCATCCTAATACTAAATTTAATTCTCTTTGAGGAAAAATACACAAAACTAATAAATCATCAGAGAAAGCCTGCCGTTACTGCAGGCAGAGTTAGGAGATGCATTAGTTCTGATAGCATCAATTAATTTATTTAAAAGGCAAATTACATCGCTGAGTCTGTTAAAATTAAACTGAATATACTTGTAGATACAAATTACTGGAGCATTAGAAGAAGACATTATTCATGTTTTGCAGACTTGTTAATAGGGCTGCAGCTAATTATTTTTCTTGATTAATCACTTAGTTGCAAGGTGATAAATGTAAGAGAAAGCTGAAAAATAGCAATCTGTGTTTCCCAAACCGCATCATGATATCGTCTAATGATCTGTTTTGTCTCCAACCCAAAGATATTTAGCTTACTAATCAGAAAACTAACCAGAAAATATGAACATTAAAGAAGCTGAAAACTTTAAATAAAAATAAATAAATAAATGAATAAATCAAACCAATGATTTATCAAAATAGTTGTAAATAATCTAACAGCTATCAACTCATTAATTAATCGTTGGTGCTCTGTTTCTTGATCAAAAACATCTGAACTGCTCTGTCCGCAGTCAGAGAAGAGGAGATTTTGCATTTTTCTGGCTAAACATTAAGTTTTATCTTTATCAAGATATTTCAGAGATATAGAAAAACCAAAGGCTTCAACCAGGAGATGGATGAAAACGAGCATTTCTCCAAAACTTCATTTGAACATGTAACCAGGAAACACAAAACACATGGTGGCCACTCCAGCAGAGCAGAGATGCAGAGTCAGAGAGGACAGGTGGGTGTGGAGACGGTGGTGCCCCGGTGAGGCTGGTGTACCTGCGGTAAATGCTGTAAGACTGGTAGTGGGAGGCGGGTGGCTGCCAGGGTTTAGTATTACAGGTGTTAGGGTCCAAGCTGGAGGTTGACGAAGACTTGGCTGGCACGTCCCGCGTGCTGCCGCTCCGCCCTAGTGCTAGCGTATGGGACGTGCTAGCGTGTTGGCAGGCAGGTGGGCGAGAGAGGCATGTTAGCGGTGGAGGCGCGCACACACATATATATAGTACAAGAAACATACATATTTAAGACTATTAAGCTTCGACACACTAATGGTGCATTCATGTCATATGGGAGCAGCTAGACAGGTAGAACTTCTGGCGAGCTCATGAGTCGAGCAACGTTTAAATGACGTCAAGTTTTTGGAATATAAATTGTGAGAAGATAAAAATATTTCGAAATTCTGAAACAGATTCAAAGGTGTCCTGGTTGGTAACATTAAAAGTCAGGAACCTGAGGAAATACAAGAAATGACAAGTTCCCAATCAGCTTTTACAAGCTCAAAACTAGGGTGATTTCATTTGGTGGCTCATGGCCAGCAGTTCTCCCATACAAAATGAATGCAGCATAAGTCCATGTCTAGGTTCTGTGCCGTGAACAACCCTGGGAATTTAATTTATCTCTGCTCGTTAAAATATCTGAGTAATGCAATGCAAATTCAGGGGCACAGCAACCTGACAGGACAGGTACAGTCATGCAACAGACTCTGTGGCAGTGATAGAAAGAGGCGCTGGGCTGATTTGCATGGCTTTCTCAGTAGCTGCTGCGAATGAAAGCATGTACGTACACATCTCTCATGACTTCGTTGAAAGCAAAATGTCCTGCAGATGACTGATAAAACAACTATCAATCATGACTACACAGTAGTTTGAGCTCCAAAGCTATGCAAGTCAACCTCGTAATGGACCAACACATCAGATCAGGTGGAGCAGAGATCTGATGACGAGATGAGGGATGGAGGTTTGGTAGAGATTTGTATTGCTGCGGGGGCTAACCTGCGCTGGTAGCTGGGGGTTCGGTTGGTGGAGGCGCTTCCTTCACTGTTCTTCAGGTCGTCATCCCAGCGTCGCCGGGTGTAGGAGCCACTACGTATCAGAGCAGTAGAGTCCCTGGGGAACCACAAGCTAGAATAGTACCCTATGCTTCCAAGAACAGATTCTGACATGTATGCTGGAGGTACTGTATGTGTTTCCCCTTAATTTTTATGAAATCTTTCTGGTTCTATTAAACTGTCAAAATCTACCAAACCATTGCTGCACAACAATACAGATATCAAAGGCAGCTGCTCAGGGCCACACGCACACACCATGCAGAGCATTTGGGCTTTTTGCCTGCAACACACAGCGGTGAGCAGCAGGAGCCACTTGTGCCAATGCATGTGTGCACAAAGCCACTTGGCTCCAGGGGTTCACCTGTTTTCCTTCTCATCAATGTCTGATGTACTGGCCAGTCTCCTGGGGATGGTCGGGGCAACGTAGGCGAGCCGGGTTCCTTTGTCTTTTTCCTGGAGGCAGCAAAACAAGCCATGTTAGTGAGCATTTATGAAGAGCTGTCAAGTATTGCTACAAGAGTTATTAACCATAATTGTAGATAAGCCCTTCAGTCCTAATCGAGTGCTTTATAAAAGCACTGCAGTTCATGGTACCAATGATTTCTTACTTATAAAACAAACATATATTGCAGCAGTCGGATCAATGAGACCTCCATAAAAGGAGCTCATTATACGGCTAGAAGAAGTGAAGGCTCAAGTACCCTATCTATACTGCCAAGCCCTGATCCAATATCTGCAAAAAGAGAGGAACTGACTGTCTGGGTGTCATGCCAGAGAGCCATGAAACATAGCGGAAAATAATAATAAAAAACTGTATGTGGCTGTGTCACTGCTGACCTTTTCCTTGTCTTTGTTGTCCAGGGATGAGGAGAGACGAGGACTCGAGGCTGAACGCATCACCCCGGTGGTGTCCTTCTCCCTCTGAGCCTCCTTGGTGGCTGTGATCTCTGCCAGCGCTCCATAGCTGCCCGTCTTCCTCAAACCTAGACGCCACGACGCCGGAGACTCGTCCTTCCTCTCCTCCTCCACTTTAGCTGAGACCTTTGCTGCAGGCTGAGTGACCTGAATAGGCGGAAATTGCAGCAGCTTAGTTAACATTGAATCAACCACTTTTAAGTATGGGGAGGTTAAATGAGATTTTTAGTAATTTTGGTAAGTAACAAAAAAACTCAATCAGGTCAGAATGGTTTGGATTAATCCACGGGGGCTGAAAGTTTTTAGTTTTTAGGATAAAACCCGAAGGACATGCCAGCTGAGAGATGCAGGATCAGACTAGATTCAGAGTAAAACTATAATTCAATGACTCCACAGCTGAAGCACAAAATAAATTCCTGAATGTATGCAATTCTAAAAAAAAAAGATAACAACTCATCTTAATGTGTCATTCACCCTGTGGGTGGTTTAGGGTCCAATTTATAGTTTTCACAAAAGGTGTGGCCACATATACATTTGCAACAACGACCAGAAGATGACAAGCAACTAAACACGACACAGAAGCCACACAGAGACGAGGTGAAAGCAGGATTAGGACAGTGCTCTTGTTGATTACAAGTGAAAACAACACCATGTAAGGTTGGTGAGTGAAAGTCAGCCATGGGGAGGTTCAACCACGATTTAGGTTTTTCCACTGCAGATGGTTCGGCGTGCCAGACCGCGCTGCGAACGGCCGTGATTAGCTTTGCCATGCTGGCTCCCAATGAAAGTTTTTCCACTTCGTTCAGAAAGGTAAAGTAGTTTACCTAAAGATCAGCTAACTTTGCTGTGAACACGCCATTAATGTTCTGACAATTAGGTCGCAATGAAGAGTCAATTAGAGTTGAAATCTGAATGTACAATCAGTGGTGCAGGAGTGAAACTAAACTTCACGCCAGAGATTCAGGTAGCAGCTTCTAAAGCACCGAGAGCTTAACGAAAAGAGACTTTACGCAGGTTCTCTCTAGTCTCCAGCTCAGTTTAGGTGCTGACAACATGAGGAGACTGATACAGGCTGGCCATGGTCGGCAGCAAGTCATAATAGTTTAGTGAAGCATGTGTGCTCAACCGGGGCGACCCATGCTCGTGGAAAAACCCTACATCACCTCGATCAGGCCAGGGTAGTTAGGGGAGTGTTTAGTACTTTCTCAGTGCACAGGTGCGTGTAGGATGAGAGAACAACTCTGGTGCACACCAATGCCTCACCATGGGTTTTTTGGGACCTAGAGAAATGCCAGTTTTGCGCAAACCTTGACGCCACAATGCAGGACAGCCTGGCTCCGCCACAGGCATGAGGGGAGTAATACAATCAAACTAAAGCCAACCAAGACAAGAGCCCAGGATGAGAAAAATGCAGAGAAGGGAGGGAGGGCAGGGAGGATAACAGAAAGGTTGAGACAGAGAAAAAGCCAGAATAAGACAGAAGCAGCGGCAGCGGCAGCAGCAGCAAAAGAAACACACTTTATGGGCAAAGACAGGTATTTAAAAGCCTAGTCACACCACATAATACTCACTGCCAAACTATAGGGGCTGCAACTTGCATGTTCTCAGTTAGAATCAGTTTTAGATCCAAACGTTTGGATCTGGGCATTGTTAATGATTTGCTCACTTATTAGACAGAAGACATTGTGGTGTGCGAGCGCTAGGCTTCAAATAAGGATTGGAACAAGAAGTTTGTTGCAAGAAAAGAAGCAGAAAAAAAGAAAACATTTAGAAAGACCTGGATAGGTGGCCACTGATTACAGACTAGAGGGTGGAATTTAACCCACTAATAAAGGTGCATTCAGAGGAGACTAAAAGGTGCATTATGCAGGTGGTGTCTGCTATGACTGACTTAATAAAATGAGTCAGAGCTTTAATGTTCTGTCCTGAATTTTAATCTTAAAATATATCTATGTACCGCCAATATATTGCAGATTAAAACTTTTTAAATTGGTTTCCATCAGTCCCACACAAGTCACATTAGGGAATATTTTCAGCCCGTAGAATAAAGGATGAAGATGATATGCCCTTGGAGAAATTTACCAGGTTCACTCTGGTTAAATGTTTGGCCGTATTTCGCCAGCAGAGGGCAGCAGAATCAAAAGTGGGACAAACGAAGACAGGAGCCCTGGTTTCGTCCCTAACCACAACCTCAATCTACTGTATGAGACACTCTGGCCTACTAGTAACCAGACGGTCTTATAGTAAACTGTTGACATCATCCTTGCTGTGCAGCCCTTTGTCATCTTTGTTACTGACAATTCGTTATAAGTAGTAAATCTCATTCTCAAGGCCTCTGCGATATCTGTTAGCCGCACCATAAAGAGCACGGTTGGCCTGGTGGCCTGGAATATGTACTTGAGATTAATTTATGTAACTCCCTGTGTATTTAGGTTTGTGTTCAAGGGGGAGAGCGAGTACTAAGGTTCTAATTTTATTGATTTGTGCACATACCGTGACACAAACAGTGGAACAAAAGGGCATCATATAAAAGAGGAAGGGCAGCTGCTACTTAAAGAAGTTTGAGGGTAGAATAATGACACGATTACATCATGGCTGTGCTGCAGCATTTAACTTCCTCAAAGGCCTTTTAAAAACAACCTTTCAGGAGAGCTGGTCTGGTTTTTTTTTTAATGCAGCTTATGTCCGTGGGCCGTAGGATGACAGGAGCTGTTCACCAGGTCATACCTTTTTGACTGGTGAAGTGGGGGAGGTCACCTGGTTAGTTGGGCCAGTTGGAGACGACACGGTGATGCTGGTTGGGCCGGACGTTGTGCTGTTGCTCACCGCTGCCGAAGGCTTGGTCTTGTCTGGAGGGGGTAAAATAAAAACACATGAGCGTTGTGATTATGGTGACGAATTATATTGAGCATTTTTACTGCAGCTCTATAAACTGTTTACTGAAGAAGATACAGAAATTGCAGAATTACACATAACGTGGTCCAACAAAAATGTCTGGAATTCCAAATTTGCCTCTTTTTTGACCATTGCACTGTGGTGAAAAGAGCTGACTGAATAGAACTCTAAGTGGGTTTAAGAGTCAAACAGAAACTGCTTTGGCTTTAAAGATGATTTAGGGATCCCACACAGTGAAGTCCAAAATAAGACACACACAGTACCTGCTTCAGTCTCCGACTCGGAATCTTCTTCCTCCTCTTCTTCACTGGAGCAGCTTGATTCGTCCTTCTTCCCCTCCTCTTCTTCATCCACCTTCTCTGGTTCTAAGGTCTCAATGCGAGGAGCGCTCTTCTCTGGTTCCAGAAGCAGTGTTTCTTTGCTGCAACACGAAAACATTGACAGCATTAGGACAATACTACAGCATCAGTATTCCTGTTTCCATATAACTGCCAAGAGCATTTTAACAGAACTTTTTAAGTGTTGCAAAAAGTTTTAAAAGGGAAAATGTAACGTAGATTTAGGAGCAAACAGAAAAGGTGGCACAGTGTTGTCAAAAGGAAGCGGTAAATGCTATGTTAAGCATGGCTGTACATAACCAAGTGTTTGCCAACTGCTAAAAAAAAAAACATGAAGAAGAAGAAACAAAAAAACTTTGGTCATGTATGAGAGAAAAACTAATTATTCTCTAATGTCAGCCATGTTTCATTCTGTCTGGAGACGAAGACAATAAAAGAAGCGAAAACATCTAATCAGTCATGAAAGTTAAATGTTTGTTACATCCAAAACTATTTGGAAAAGCTGATTTCATCTCTCATTATGTATGTTAACTCTTTTTTTGGAAAATAAAAGTCAAAAACCACTTCAGAGAAATGTAAAAACTTCAAACTGCTGAACTTTTTTTTTCTTTTCAGATCTTTTCTTCCATTTACTTTCCCCAGTGTGATACTTTAAAATGTACAAAATAAAAAAAAATAACCCAGAAATGTTGTTGGAGTGGAGGCACAGTGGTTTATGAAAGTATATACAACAGAATGAGAGAAGACAAGTCAATATTACAAAATAAAACAAAAACACAACAATTTAGCTATACGTTTGCTAGAGGAGGGTTAATAAAAATCCCAAAACTAACTCAATAAACCAGTGATTATTTTTCCCCGTCAACTGTTTACCTCTTGAGTGGTTTCAGTGATTGGTTGTTATCCCCTGTGGTTGTCGTTTCAATCAAAGGAGATTTCTTAACATCTTTCTTTTCGCTCATCAGCTGGAAAAAGAAGAAAACAGCAAAACACTTAGAGTCCTGGCCAAGCAATGCAATCAGATAATAAAAATAAGATTTTCATGCATATCTATTAAGAACTCATTTAAAGATTACTGAATTTAAGCTGTGTAATGCCAACGCTTTAGTTATCAGCACTGACTCACCAGATTTTGTTTCTTTTGTAGTTCTTCTAAGTATCCCAGAACGTCTTCATCTGCTACATCAAAAGGGGTCTGGCCCTGAAGGAAAGCAACGAAATAAAAGTTAAAGACTGCACAGCACCTAATGGCAGCATACCTGACCGTCCTGGTTACTCACCATTTTATTAATGAGGTCCATGTCACATAGATTCTCCACCAGTATCCTACACGCCTCCTCTTTGCCCCAGTGTGCTGCTGCATGTAGAGGAGTCCAGCCATCATAGTCCTTAATATTTACATCATACCCTGCTTGGATTAAAAGCCTGCACAATAAGGTTTGGAGGGGAGGGGGGGGGTTGTGAGAGGGACAGAAAACAAAAATAGTTTTCGTTGGAAATGTGGTTCTCGGATTTGATTCTGTAAACTAATCTGTCAATGTGCTGCCGTGGCCGAGGTCTTTTGAAGTGCGTCAGCATTGTAACCCAAGGTCAGATTTACAAGATGTAGAGTCCGCCCCGTAAAAACACGTAGACATAATCTGAAAATCTTAGTCATCCCTGAGCAAAGCTGGATGAGGTTGGCAAATTTCAAAGCCTTTAAACTTATTTCAGCCAATAAATCTGCCATTACAGGGAAAACATTTAGATCCCTGTCTTATGTATGGTAGTTGCGCTAAACATCAGAGATCTTCGAGCTATCTATGGCAGCAGAGCGTCCTGGCCCGCTTCCCAGACCAGATGGACAGGCGGTTGCAGTTCCTATCCTCGAGCAGTGTAACTGTATTAACAACCCACAGAGACAATGTCGGAACAACGGAAGATGACAAGATGCAGAGACGGAGATCTGTCTGGTATAAGCAAGGAAGAAAATAGTGCTAGGCATCACCACTGTCATCCCTCTAAACATTATTCATATAATGGAACATACAGGACAGAATTCATGTGACAGCCAGCTTCTTCATGTGTTGGTCAGGACACGTGTTCAAACTATTTTACATCCACCTGTGACATCAAGACCAGTGCTTACTTTAAAACCTCGACGTATCCTTTTGCAGCAGCTACATGGAGAGCCGTTCCTCCGGATTTTGCGTGCCGGACATCTTGGATCTGGCCACTGTTGAGCCACTGCCGGGCGTCCCTCAGCATGACCCGCTCCTCTTCTTTCCGGGCCGCCTCGATATCCACTCCTGGTGAGACAGAGGAGGCCGATACTGTGAAACTGACATCCAGGGATTACCTGCTACTTAGGAACGAGCTGCCAACTGTAACACTGAACCCACACAGGGAGCAAGGCCCAGTTACAGAAAGACATTTATGAGTTCTGCTTGTTTTACATCCAGAGCGAGTGGAAAACAGTAGTCTGACTATGGGCTGCAGTGGTGAGAACAGAAAACATATTTAAATACTGCGATGAAAATGTCATAACACCAAACCCATGCACCTCTGTAATTAGTAATTAAGGCAGGCTTTGATGCTATACATTGTTTTTAAGGTTCTACTGAGGGAAAAAAATGACATTATTCTGGCACCATTCTCTAAACGCAAGGCAGTTGTTCTGCTTTAGGCAACAGTTTAGTGCCAATATTCTGTCAATTCAACAATGAAACAGTGACTGCACACAAAAACACACACCTCAGCTGGTTAAGTAGGTCAATATGTCTAAGCTATACGCTGTATAGCAGGGCAGCAGCGAAAACAGGCGTGTATTGTCTTGTTGACACCTGGTTGGAACACAGCGCGGTCTGAAACGCACTGCTGCACGAATCGTTGACTCTTCAGCTGAGCGTCAACTGTGTTGAACTATATAAACAATGATCCGAGAAGTGCTCCGGGGGCAGGAGCCAAAACTTCAGCTGATCCTATAGGTTTTTGTTATGCTCCCAAGGATACATCATCACTCATTTCCTGACACACTAGAAAGCTTTAAGACCTGGGTTTTTTTAAACCCAATGAAAGGACATCTGTTTAGAAAGTCTGGCTTGGGAAAAAAAAGAAGTAGTAGTCTACCTTTATTCTGAGGTTTAGCCCCACACAGCAGGAGTGGAGCGCAAAGAGAACACTTGATTTGCAAACACAATGAGATTCCTGCTTATTTGATTTCCACTCCTTCAGATATCTGATATTGTGTCCAAGTATTTTAAAAAATATAATCGCACAAAGCAATGCACATCCAACACAAGCCTAAATTTAGCCAGGCAGCAGGAACACTTGTTTAAGACTGGGCATGTTGCTCATTAAGAGGATTAGTGAGCTGAAGTCTAGGAAAGTGAAAGCAAATGGGAAGAAGGTGACATAGTGTCTGACTTTGAGTGGATTTCACGTTTCAATTCAGCCAGAGCAGCTTTGCGACAGGGACTAAAGCTCTGTCTCACTATAGCTGTCTGGTCAGTAATTCTTGTTTTATATTGTTACAAACATCAGATTATTATTACAATCCGGCTATAACTAAAAAAGGAATCAAAATTGAGCGGACTGAAAAATTTTGATGTGTGATCTGGTTTGTTTCATGTCACACAGTAGCCCGCCAAATACATTTGTAAAAGAGATTTCTAACAAACAGCTTACAAAAAGATCAACCAGTGTCAGATTTGTATTTGTTCCAGTTAAGAAAAGCAGAAATGCTGTAACTCAAGCTAAATTTACTCAGACTTTATAAGCCAAGGAATGTGAAGTATAGATACAGTGTGTTATGGCAAAATGGGTGATGGCCAGGTAGGGCAACATCCTGTGATCTCTTGGGAAGCAGCCTACACTGTGTCTATAAAAAGCAGGGAGCCTAATGGCCTCTAAGTAGGACTACAGAACAAGAGCCGAGTGGAAGAATTGGCAGCAGTTCAGAGATGAGTTTTACAAGAGAACAGCACATCTTCTACCTGAGCATTAAGATAAAGATAAAACCCAACTAGACCAAAAAAGGACTTGTCTCCCACTTCGCCGTACTAACTCGGTAACTACAGTATATTTGGCAAAGCAAAAGAAAAAAAAAAATATTTACAGAAATCTGCCCTGAATCAATCACTATGAACCTAAAAGGTAAGTGCACTGTTTCTTTGTTAGAGTCAAAAGAAAGGTCCACTCTAATTTACTGTCCTCTCAGCAGCAGCCAGTCTAACAAGGACAGAGTGTGAGAAGCACTTGCGAGGCTGTCCGCTTTAACTCCATTACAAGGACATGCAGCGGCAGCTTTCACACAGCAGCTGATGGAGAGCAGGGCTCCCTGGTCACTTCACCCACCGGGGTCAAGAAGAGGACCTAGATGTTGTCCCTGCACAGGGGAAGCTATGGCCACACGCTAACTAGTTTAACCCCATGACTTGTATCTCTTTGAGAGGAGAAAATCACATTAGAAACATACAGACGTGTTACACAACAGCTAGTTGCATAATGCTGCCTGCTACCTCTAGCATAAAGAACTGAGCTGTGGATTGTCTGCAGCAGCCCTAAAGCCAGGATCACTGCAAATTCACTCTGCAGTCGAGTTTAATCACAAAAACAGTTTTGAATAAATGCAAAAATATATAGATAGCGATCAAACTTGAATACTCAGTGTGACCATGATGAAAAAGTATTCAGTAATCTGGCTCAGCAAAGTCTGTGATTATAGCAAATGGAGATTCACATTTGGTTTTTGCATCGGTGAGTGATGGACATTTGAGGAGGCTGAGTGAGGACGACCCCGGCAGTGCATCCATCAGGCGGCGGCAAATCAAAGCTGACAGCAGCCTCTGCATGAGATGCTCAAGGTTTGGGTGGGTGCAAATCTCACCACCGTTACATAATATGGCCAAGGAGCGTAACATACAAGCAGCACTCTGGGTGTGATTATCACTGGATGCCACATGCTTCCAAACACTTGGACCTTGAAATAAGAGTCAAGGGACTGACAGCTTAGAGGAGTCCTTTTTTCCTCAGGTAGAACACAGCTGAGCACTACACATGCATTATGTAGGATGGAGTAGGGTTGCTATCAAGCAAAGAAAACTGACTACATTTGTGCCTATCGTTCATCTCATGGATGAATTACAAAAAAAATTGCATATTGTCTCCAACTAAAATCTGCCACAGTGAGCTGAGTGCGCTCAACCTGTTAAACGTATTAACCTGAATCACACACAAGTAACATAAAAAGTCAACAGACTTGGTGCAGACCAGTGAGAATCCGTCCATATTCATAAGATTCGATTTGATTCATAGCACAACAACTGTTGAGGAAAAACAATGCAGACAAGTTAGTCCAGCGTTTTGAGATGATCTGCAACGTTGCTTTTTAAACTGTGATATGAAAGCTGCTGTTTTCAAAGTTTACATTCAACTTTGTGCTTTGATCAAATGCAGTCACACCAATGACTTCTCTGACATGGTGTCAATTAGTTTGCTGCCATCACTAAGGAAACATTCAGTAAATGTTAAGTAGGTTACACCTCTTCAAAATTGTGAAAGCATGGGGGTGTTCACAGGTGGTTTGTTTCTCCTGCTGCCAAAGATAATGTTTAATCTCAGAAGGCTGTTGATGAAGCATTTTTTCTGCCAACAACACCGATTGTCCGACTAATGAGAATCTGATTGAGCGAGAGGTCATCGACCAATCAATTGATTACTCGATCCACTCGACTACAGCACTGAGAAGGAGACTGCATCTTCTGATCTTGTGGATAAATTTTCATAAATCTCTAATGAGGGTGGTGCACCTATATCAAAACAGGAATGCTTCTCGAACTGTGCTAGACTTGTATTTCAAGCCTTACTGTAAACTATTAATACCCATGGTAAAATGTAACACTTCCTGCTGCCTGCAAACAGCATTATGTAAAAGGTGAAGATGCACAGCTTGCCTAAGGAAGCGCAAAACGTGCCACAGAGAAGGGCCAGCCAGCCAAACTTTATTAGTGAATATGAGCTGAGGAGCACCCCTCTGGCCTGGGGCCAGTTAACACGTCTGTGCATGGCCTCTCACCATAGGGGAGGGCCTTTCATCAAGAATGCCCAGGACAAAAATAGAAAGACCCAACGCTTCAGTTTTGATGCATCACATGAGAGCTGACTACACAGCTGGATCACTTTTCTATATTATGTAAGTTTTCATGAAGCAAGCGAGTGAAAAACAGCAGGTGACTGACACCCAATGAGATTTCAGACACTATTTGAAAACATACTCATACATGCATGAAGTAGACATGGGGCCCCTACCAGGTATGCTACCTTCAGCATGCCTTCAGGGTCCTGACATTAGGATTGTTGTAGACATCATATGAGGCTAGATTACACAATAGCAGCTAAAATATCTTAACTGTGTACACGTTCTAAACTGAAGCTTCAAAACACTGGCATCAACCAAACCCAGCATCCACCTGTCTCCACTTCTTCCAGTCGTGTTACATAATTTGCTGCCCCACGTTTTCACTAGATTATCAGTCATTACAATAAGTTGACACTGACATACTACAGAACATTTTTAAAACAACAGCCGTAAGGGGAGGGCGGTGAAGAGACATGTAGTCCAGTGTGGAGCGCACAGCAGAGTTCCAGGTGTTCGTAATACTGTACCTTGTCGGTTGATCTCATTTTGCAGGAGTTCCTCCATTGCCTCCTCTTCAGCAATGTCCAGCGGTGTCTCACCCTCACTGTTCACAACTCCTACATTAGCACCCTGGCTAATGAGATACCTGCAAAAATAAAACGCAAAACAAACCAAAACAATTACACTTGAGGCAGCAGGATGTTTCTGAAAGCTCACAAATTATCATGACAGGGGGAAAACCAGTTTGGGGACAAACTTTACCCTTTGACAGGATGGAAAAGGAAAGAAGGTAAAGGCAAATACGAGATGAGGAAACAGTTGAAGGACCGAATATGTGTTATATTGCTTTTGATTTAATGCCTACATGGTAGTCATTGTCTGAATCTTCTGGTCACCTCTAGATCAAACTACACAAATTTATCAATTACATAGATTTGATTGATTACAATGACTTAAGAGCGCCTCCCCATCAGACGGTCATATAAGTACTCTTCTGGACTTTCTGTCTCTAAAAGAGCATGCTCAAAATGTGCAAAAGCCTAAAGGCTTATTAATAACTGTATGATGACGGTAAACATTCATGGCACAGGTTCAAAAAGGTAAGCATGATGTGCACATATGCTACAAAACTGAAGGTACATAAGACACACAGCATAGTAAACTGTAGAGGAGCTTCCTCAGGCTGCGTACAGACAGTGAACATGCTACACCTAAGAGAAAAGAAATCTGGAGTCTTGATGAGGAGTGGCTCAAATCCAGACAGGTGTACTGCCAAGTCTGCCACCTGAATTTGGCTATTATTGATCAGGAACCAAGATATTTAGAAAAAACTAAACAAAACAAACAGAAAACAACAACGGCAGATGCTCTGGGGCTGAATTGTATAATATTTTCAAACTTACTATTTACATTTCTGGAATAAAAAAAAAAGTATGTGTCACAGCCCCATAGGGAGGTTCGATGTCAGCATTTACATGTTGATGAAAACTGTGACAGTAAAACAGGGCTGCATATATATACCTGCAGAATGATAATGAATGTTTTGTACAATACGGAGAGATCATGATTATTCATCAATGTTGTGACACATCCCTGCTAATGTACACATCATTTCATCAAAATAAAACTTAGAAGCTTCACCTGAATCCAGTAAACCTCCCAGGGGGAAAACTTTTTTGTTTTGTTTTAAATTGTACCCAAACACCTTACTTGCTGAACATCTTTTACCCAAGCTGAAACCAAGTGACTTTATCTACATGGGATGTTTTCCATGAGCAGAACACTCTTTGTAAGCATCAATATTGCAGTTCTGTTTGTTTAACTTAATTGTGGAAAGCAAGAAATGTGATTGTAAATTTACAATGAGTTGTGCAGCCCTAATACAAAACAAGCTTTCTGAGTATAGTTATGGTTTTTATATTGGATTTAATATATAACAGATAATATAATAAAGTCATTTTTATTTGTTCCTTTTTGAAAAAGTGTTTCTTCAGAATTTGTCACATTAAAAATTTAAACAAAACATTTCGTTAGTGGGGCTCTTGTTTATCATAAATGAATTAATTCAGTTTACAAAAGCTCTGAACAGCCCTTTGTCTACATAACCCTTCAGACTCATCATCTAAACGCACTAAAGACGCAGAGATAAACCATAAAACCCTCTATAGATAACCAAAATAAGCACTCAACACAGAATTTGTGGCTACTTAGTGATTTAACCCTTTACATGCCTGTCTCCCCCCAGCAGTGATTCAAGACATTTTAATCATTCAACATGTTGAGTTCAGCTGTTTCCAATTAAAGCTGTGGCGAGACTCAGGCCCTTCTCATTAGACCAACACACCACTTGAAACGCGCTCAGCGCTTATGACTTCCCCCCAAATGGCAAGTGACTGACTATAGTTCCATTTCAAAGTTTTATATCTTTTTGATTGGACTTTCTATTCGGCCTATTTTCGGTTGACTTTACTAGGTTTGATGGCTTTGTGGTCTGGAGTCCCACTGTGGCCTTCTTAACCAGCCCTACAATTACATGGCTGTGGTGCCACCAGGGGCTCACAGATACAGGCCTGCTTTGCTGTTCGTGTTACTGTGAATGAGGATGCTGGGATTAAAAAGGGCCATTCTGAGCGCTTCGCCGCCCACACCAGGTTGCGGAGTTTCTCTCTGTGACATCGTGTCTCCATTAGTCACACATATCATGACAGCCACTTGACCTTTTCATTCAAATTCTGACAACAAAAAACGTTTTGTTTTCTGTAACGCTAGCCCTGTGCTGATGCTGTGCCGGCCTAATGAACACACACTCGGTTCAACATGTAAAATATTGTGTGAAACTTTTCCCCATATTCCTCAAAAAGATTAATAAATTGTAATTAAATTGTAGGCAGAATTCTGGCAACTATTTTTTATTTTTTATTTTTTAAACATAAGTAGCACGTGTATTTCCTACAGCCAGTCATACTTTTTGGAAAAACAAACATCAACAGTGGGGATAAATCTCTAGCCAGGTTCCTGTAATGTAACACAGAAGTAAAGCAGGTCACAGCACACTCCCAATAAGCTGAACAATAAGTACAACTGAGCTCCTTCAGCCCCCTTTAGCCTGTTTAAATATCCTCTGATAACATCTGTGTTGTGAGCAGTCTTCTTACCTGAAAAACACTAGGGGCAAGAAAATACTAGAGTGCAACTGTAGAGCTCCATTCTAGATATAGTGGGTGACCCTGATCTCTCCATATTTGATTACATCACTATAACAATGTTTGTCCGATCTATCAGATGGGCTGCTGCTCTTGTCTGAATGTGACGAGGACTGTGAGGCGCTGACAATGGTGGCTCATGAAATTTTGAATCTGGCACACTAGTGGGCATCTTTTCAAGTAAACATGCCCCAATTGGCAGTCGTTGAGGATGACGTAATCAAGTTAAGTAAATTCTATTTATGTAGCCCAATCACAAATAGATGAGGAAAAGTCTGTATCAAATCAAAGGATTCTCCCAACATTTGCATAAAAACATCTTAACGAACAGATAAAACCAGCAACGAGTGCTGCAATGTTCACATATGCAACCTTTAAAATGTCCAAAATCCCTCCGTACTGAGGTAAAACATGATCGGAGCACTGCATTCGGCCATACCGAGCAGCAGTAATCCTAGCAGCAATATAGAGACAAAGGTCACTAATGAGGGGCCCAGAGGGGTGACAGGGTGGTTCAGGCCTCAGCTGGAGCCCAGCCATGTCAGTCCTCATGTCACTTTGTGCATGACAGTCTAAATGAAAGGTTGAGTGAGTAGTGCGGCAGTTAAAAAAAAAAAAAGAAAAAAGAAAAAAAAGTCTTCAAATAAGCAACTGTAGACACAAAACAGGATGCGAAGCTGAGTTGGCAGAAACCAAACGTGATGAAACAGATACAACTGCTTCTTAGGAACTGAATCAACCGCTTTTCAAACAGGCTCCTCTGCACTTACTCTGCTATGTCGAGGTATCCACAGGAAGCTGCAGCGTGGAGGGGGATCCAGCCCTCATTGTCTGGCTGGTTGATGCTGGCTCCGTGCTCCACCAGGAAAGTCACCATGTCGACATTGTCATCTATGCATGCCTGAGGGAAAGAGAAGAGAAGGAGAGTAAGACCTTTCTAAAAAGCAAGGACCACGACCTGCACTGAGTTTCTATTTATTAGCCCGTCTGTGTACACACACATGCATGTGAGCTCATGTCAGTGGGATGCTATAGCTACAAACGTCCAGCATGGAAAGATCATTACACTGTGCCTGCTAGATTGCCATGTGTTTCCAGAATTGTTGGGTAATTTTGGCAGCCAGAGCGTTCCCAAAATGCCGCCACATAGCAGGGGTGCTTGAAATACCACATAGCATAGTACCGCTGGTGGAGGCAGTGAGGTGCTGTGCATATATGCTGCTAATTTATGCAAAAAGAGAACCAAATTAATTTTTTAAAAAACACCTTCAAAGGCTATTTAAGAAGTCAGTTTTGCACATAAGCCAAATATTCTCAAGTGTGATAAATCAAGCTACTGAAATACCCACAAGTACACACACTCTTACGTTCTCCTCTTATACTGAGCGGTTGAAAAATGACTCAATTAAATCCTCATTTGTGGCTGAGCAAAATACATAAACGATTTATTTGCAAGCACGTTTTTACCCAAAAAAAACCCCATTCGTTTAATAAATCCTAATCAGTAGCTACTTTGCCATTCTCTAGTGCTCTGTATCTTATGCCAGCCTCTTGGTTATGGGCAGGAGGACATCCCTAACAGGCGTTTAAATTCAGCGTAGGAGGAAACTGGAGCAACCTGTGGAACATCTGAATACAACTAATGCAACTAAAATTCCACATTAAAAGAGCCCAGTGAGCGCTCTGTGCACACATTTATGGAATAAGGCTCACTTTATGATATTTTGGAAAAAACTGATTTCCCGACCAAACGTCTTTACTCTCAATGAAGCGCTGCATGCATTCAATTGAAGTGCTGCGGAGAACACTAAATGACATTCCACTAAAATGTGAAACATGTCTGAGAACGAACAGCCCATCCTTGAATGTCACCAAACGAGATCAGGAGCACAAAGACCCCACCTCCTCTTTACATGGGTTTTCCAGAAGGTGCTTACTGTAGACTAGTATAATTTTCTTTTCATTATCTACAATGCTGTTCAACACTTTTTTTAACCCCTCCAGCAAATACAACCACATATGACTGTTGACACAATAAAACAAAAGTGATACCGACAGAAATGAAGAGCAGCTGTAAGTGGGAGGATCTAATTTAAGATCTTCTGACTCATGAAGTGGGAGATGTTGTGGGTTTACCTACATTAAAGCTGAAATTGCACCAAGGTGGGCATTCACGTTTCATTTATACGTCAAGTGTGGGTTAAAAGTATTTTTTAGGAAATACATTTTTGGTAAACTGTATATAATTTTTACTAAAAAAGCAAAACTCCATCTAGTATCAGTGTGTTTGTTATTCAGTGTGTAATATTTTTGTTTTCTTTTGATTTTGAAACTCATGAATATTTGCAGTGTGGCCATTATGAGGCAACTGATGTCTGGCCGAGGTGTTTCAGACAGTGTTCATGTAACTGGAGCACCAATCCCTCGCTCCTTTCCTGTTTCTGGTTTATTGAACAAGACAATGCAATCAAAAATAATTCTTTAAAAAAAAAATAAGAAGTCCGTTTTTAGCCATGTTCTGCCAGCAACTTGCACCACTGTGAAATGTGACAAGCCTCCCGAGGACCTTCTTAATGTTAGGTAATACTGCTAACCACGAAGCCACTGCTGTTCAGCAAGCAAAGCCAGCAGCAGAGACCTTATTCATGACACACAAAGATCCTGATGTCACCAAGTAAAATCACATTAAACATACAATCTGCAAATCAGGATTCATAAATAAAATCCTGAAGTGAAAATAACGCAAATCCTTCTTTTCCAGTGTATTTGCAGTTGTCCTGAAAAAAAAAAAGGCAGCTAAAAATGAATGTCTATGTACGTCCACTGACAGGCATTGTAGTAAATAATCGTGATAAACACTCCAAATCCAAAATAACTGCCACTTAGCAATATTAAAAACAAACTTTGCTCCCGAGCCCTCAAACCCATAACTGAGCACGGTGCCTGGACTGTCTCGCTCTCTCCTGGGGTTGCTATGACAACACAAGCGTGGACAGGGAAAACAGATCCACATGAACACACGGCAGCCTCACGTTCAGGGCACACGACTATCTGGCTGGAATCCTTGTCCAAATTTGGGCCGTTTACAGCGCCAGAGCTGAAGAGCGCCTGCAAAGGCCTCGCCGAGCTTATCTGACAGCGCACGTGTGTTTGCTTATGATGAGGTTTTTGGTCGCATTTAGGCGCTCGAGCACTTTGATTATAGTTTCTCGATAAACTCCGATTTTGCTGCAGAGCAGACAAAGTAAAAAATCTGCAGCTTCATCACTAGTTTAATGTCACCCTAATGGGCTTGCTATTATGATGCCATCATCATAAACAAATATTGTGGCTGCCCTGTCCCAACACATGGCAGCTTGTGGTTCACCATTCAGGTTCCTAATTTGTCTATAAAGGTGGAAGTGGTTCATGGGTTTAAAATCAAGAATTGGAACATCCAGTGACCTCCAAAGAGGACAAGTCTGGCATCTATATTTATTAAATCAGAACTATAACAATCATCATATTGCTAAAAATTGCTTTAACTCTGGGTTTCTACCCTATGAGTGCAGGTTTGTATTTGTCACAACCAATCGCAGTCTTTGGCTGAATTCATGTGTGGCCATTTGCTGTGCATTTCCCTCCAGAGATTCATTATAGTGCAGTCAGCTGCCTTGTGGGAATCAAAATAAAGACAAGTGGCCCTTAGGGACAGCTTTACTCAGTGTATTCAATTGGAAACCAAGACAGTAAGTGAAAGTGAGCTGTCTGACTGGCTGTTGTTCAGCCAAGTGAATCAGTGATTTCACCCTGGAGCACTGTCTCTCTTAATTTTTTTTAACAGCTGTTGTCCACAAACAAAAGACCACAGATGATGACACAAATTCAAAGCAGACACAACTGTTATTTATTTGTTTTTTAACATGACATAGTTAAAAAAAACAAAAAACAAAATCAATTTCCACTGGAAGAAAAATTGGCAACGTAGGTTACTGTCTTTCTGCAAACTAATAGTGTGTCTTTCTTCTTCTTTTTGGCTGTCAAACACACAAATATACTCCCTTATTTCCTTTCTTGCAGCTGCATTATCTATATGTATGTTGGAAGTCAGATGGCTATCAGCTGTGGTTTTCGCGCTGTGTGTTGAGCTCCGCCTAATCTGTTATTCTGACACTGTTGACATAGTGTTTCAGGAACCTCTGACAAGAAATGCACATCATATCATTTGTTCATTTGTGTCTGCTTTAAAATAGAAAAAAGTCCATATTTTTTACAGCTTTTTGCCTCTAAAAACTCCTCCATACCCTCATCTAAATCCTCTCCCACGGTCACTCCCTACGCCTATTATCTCTTCAAAGTCATCTCCTTGTCTAAGAATGGAAACAAGCCCCTTAAGGTGAGCATAGTGATGCCGGTGACCTCCCTCTTCAATGCGTCACCAGCCTTCCTTCACTGACTCCTCCTAGCAGCCCAACAAAAGTAATCCCTTAATGGCTGTAATTGTCTGTGGTTGACAGGTGCCAGAGTTACTGCCCGCATCAAGAGTATGCTTAGTCTAGCAGCCCGAGGGATGGGAGAAAGAAGAACGAGACTCAAGACAAAGCACCATTGCATCCTTAATCATCATTTCCAGAGCATCATGGTATCTAAAAGCCTGCGATGCACTTCCAGCTGGGGATAGCACACTCCTAAACCAACGAGAGAGGAGCGGTAACATAAGGTGGCAGCACAACACTTGCGAAGCTCCATACGTCATGCATCCTCCATTGTACATCTAAATCTACAAAGACAAAGTGTTTCGTAACTACAGTAGGCAGAGTGATTGAGCCTTTCAGAGCAGAGGAAGAGGCTCTGAATATTAATTGAAGTTATATTAGGAAACACTGTGGGCTTAATCCTGTCTCACACATCACAATCAGCCCCCGTGTGACATATAGAACCTGTACTGTGCTCGCAGTGAAGCATTCAGACATGTAGTGACTCACACTCAAACAGACACGTAGCCATTTAAACCTGTTTGGCCAGTGTGCCTCAGAGGAGAAGAGAGGAGGCCTTGTCGAGGATAAAGGTAGCAAGATGGATGGCACCACGCAGTAAAAGACGGACGACTGAGATATGAAATGCACCAAATCTAAAGGTTAAAATGTGATTCCCATCGTAAATAAATCACACATGTCTACTAAAATAGATTACAAAGTCATGCAGACGCTACCCTGAAGGACTAAATGTATGTACAATATAGGCTTTTGATAACGGTTATTTTTTATTTTCCCTATGATGATACATTTCCTGGTTTGCTTGAGTCATATTTACACACAGCTCCATATGTCTGATTTGAAATCATGTTTAGAGTGACAAAGACAAATCAGAGATTCAAGTAAGCCGTAACTGGCTGAACAACAAGCAGCCACACGATATCAGATATCACCTGATGTTTGCTGTCAATTTGTCAGACAAGACATCAGGATAAATCCTTGCTGCTCTTTCGGATAAAATGGAAACTGATGCTTCTGGGAAGTTGATGTAACAGCAAAAATAAAATCAAGTGCTAAACTAATCAATCGACGCAGGATGCTCCATTTGGCTGGTCGATAAGAGTTTAATGTACGTTGTGTGGATAGCTTCTGAAAACAGCTGTGTTAATCCATTAGGCTTTGCGGGATGTGGTTAGCAGATGAAGATAATACAATGAAAATCACTAATCTCCAAACAGAAATTAATTCAACAAAATCAGACAGGTTGTGAGTGGAAGTCAAAGGTCCAACATGATGGAAATAATCATTCTAGAGAGCTGGTAGCATTGAAAGTGGTACAAGAGAACGCTGGCAGGCTTCCATCAGAAGGGTCTGATGAGGAGGAAATCCTTAAGACTGACATTAATTTTACATCAGGTACATTGCAAAAGTGCTGTGAAGTGGAGCT